GCTAATCTTTATTGTTAACTGTATTTCCAAATTTAATCTTATAAGAATTTTTTGTTGTTGTTTTTACAAAGGACTTTTTTTCTTCTCTTCATTGAAATAGACTTCAAGCATTGGAAAGAAGTCTCATCATAGAAAATGGAGAAACATCTCCTGTTGTCCAAGATATGAAGCTTAAAGTCAATTCCTTTAAGGAGAAGTTAGAGGTTTGTAAATTTGATAATCGTGTGGTAATCTTGTGAACCATACAGTGTAAAACAGAACATAAGGGCAATGATCATTTACATAATGACTTACTGCACTGTGGTTATGACTGGGTAGTAAAATATAAGTTAGAAAGTAATTGACATATGTACATTTTATACATACTGAGTATAGGTTTGACAGAAAATTTTGTATTCATTGTATGTCATACATTATTTTTCTGTGGATGTGCAGGTACAATTTGTATTGTGTCTTTTGTTTGTCGTTGCAGAGTGTTGAGCACCTTAGTTGGTTGGGTCTGTTTAAAGAGATGTCAAGGTGGGTAGTGTTCTTTTGGTAGGTAACATTAACAGAGACACGTAAAGGTCTATTGGTTCAGATCAGTTCAGGTCAGATCAGCTCTTGTTAACTGATTTCATTCTTTCTCTTTTAGTGGTACATCCAAGAGACCCTCGTCAGAGAAACACAGTTTACGAAGAAGAACCTCTAGTGAACTCAACTCTGTTCTTGAAAAATTTAAAAAGTTGTCGTAAGTTTAATTTTCCTAGTTAAGTTATGTAAAATGTGTTTTTCAGGAAACATTTTATTATTTTTTGAGGCTTATTTTACTGTCTAGTTGATCATGACATGTACTTGCATCTTGTTTTCATAGGAATGCAGAACTCACAGATCAGACAAGGAATCTTTTAAGAAAGCCTTCATTTGATAATTGGTATGAAAAAATCCTGAATTTATCAATCTCAAAATCTCACCCCACCTCCTCTCTGCTATTCTCATCTCATATCACATCTTATCTTCTGGTCACACTTGTTCGGAGGCTGGATAATGTTATCCACTAGGCCTGGATTGTGCGAAAGGCAGGTAATGCTATCCACCAGACAAATCACAATCCAAATGGATAGCGTGGTTTGTTTTGCTAACACTGATCCACTGGATAGCTATTTATCTGGTGGATAGCGTCATCTATTCTTCAAACAACCGGGGCCAGATAAATCACTATCCAGCAGTTAGTGTTGACAAACCAAACCACACTATCTGCTGGATAGCAGTGTATCCAGTGGATATAGGGTTATCCACCACTGGAACAACATGGGCCTGGTTGTTAAGTTAACATTTGAATTTTTTCTTGACAACAAGCATAGAACTAATACTCCAAATGTAACTTTGCAGTATTGCAAATTGAGTTTCCCAGATTTTTTTTCACCTCTTGGTATTTACCTTCTGTGGCACCTTGCACAGAATCCAGTTTCTCGGTTTCCACATCTTTAGCCTTTTTGCAAACAGTATATTTATGTAATAGCAGTAAATTAAAATCATTTTATCTTGCACATTTTCAGGCAGTGGGAAGATGCCGAAATGTTATACTTACTTCAGCAGATGTATACAGACTTAAACTTGATAGAAATATTTAACATTGAGGTAATTTAATTATCTGTTTTTCATTTGATAATTTTGGTTATATATAATGCATATAGCTAACAAAGAAACCATGTAAAAGAGAGATTATATTTTCACTGTGTATAATCTTTTATATCTTTTGCAGATACCCATCCTACAGAACTTTTTATTCGAGGTTTTCAGGAATTATAATGCAACTCCTTTTCACAACTTTAGACATGCTTTCTGTGTAACCCAAATGGTAAGAAATGATGGAAACTGTCATTGTCTTTAAATATCATCTTAAGACCAGTGGGAAAATGGCAGCCACATGCATACCTGTAAGCTTTTCTGACTCTATTTTACATGTACTGTACCTCTATTCTGTGACACTTTTCACAGTACACCTCTCCTTTTCCTACAACTAACTTTACCTTCAGGTGTCAAAGTTCTCGTACATACATGTAGTTAAAAGTTCTCCCTAATAAATGAACCAAGTTTTCTTGCTGGGTGGTTTGAATTGTTCAAATCATTAAAGACTGGTTGACTGATGTTGTCACTGATTAGAAATTTGTTGGTTTAATGTGATGTCTGTTTCTTTGTTGTTGTTGCTTTTTGGATTTGTTCGTCATCACCTATGCTTTGAAGTCATACAGTTGTGAACAACAGTTCTGAAGTCTACAATAATTTCTGATCATTTTGCCACTTACTTATGGCAGTCAACTGTTTAACATGCTTTTTTGTTGTCAGATGTATGGTTTAATCTGGTTGACACAAATCCCTGGCAAGGTGCAAGATTGTGATGTGCTTGTGATGTTAACGTCTGCACTGTGTCATGACCTGGACCATCCGGGCTACAATAACGCTTATCAGGTAAGTGTAAATGTGAAATTTTCCTCTTTAGCATTTCAACAATTTAGTTTCTCTTTACTTTGGTAAATTCCTTCTTTTTCCTGGCAATGGTACAAGGTGATATGAGTCACTCTACCCTGCAAAATGAGTCACTTCAATCTTTCTTAGATAAGTCAGGAAAGAGGAAGGCACCCTGATGTATCTAGGAAAGATTGAAGTGACTCTGTTTGCAGGGTAGAGTCACTGGTGTCAGCAGCCATGTTCAATCCCCTGCCTCAACATTCTGCCAGGTTACACTAACAATGTACCTGCACCCTTTTGTACTATCCTCCTGGGTAGTACAGGAGGCGTGGTGGCCTCATGGTTACTGCGCTGGTCTCCAGGTCGAGCGGTCCGGGTTCAAACCCTGGTCGGGGACATAGTGTCATGTTCTTGGTTAAGACGTTGTACTCTCACAGTGCCTCTCTCCACCCACGTGTGCAAATGGATACTGACAGACTTAATGCTGGGGGTAGCCCTGCGATGGACTAGCATCCAATCCAGGGGGGAGTAGAAATACTCCTAGTCGCCTCATGCTACAGAAACCGGAATAAGCTCTGGCCTGATTGGCCACTTGTCTCATGTGCGGACTATACCTTACCTCCTGGGTAGCATTTTGATGCAAACGCAGCTTACCAAGAAAAAAAAGTGGCCCAGTCTTTCCTAGAATCTAAGGCACTATTATGAGTACACATGTTCCAATGGATTTTTTTTTTTGTTTTTTGTTTTTTGTTTTTTGTCACAGGTGAATGCCAGAACAGAGCTCGCCATAAGATACAATGACATCTCACCACTTGAAAACCATCACTGTGCAGTAGCATTTGATATCATCTCCCAGGTATTGTACACATGCTGACTGCATGATGAACCACTCATATCTCCTAGAACTTAGTCTTAGTCAAAATATATGAAATCTCTAATCACGTCATTGCGGAAAACAGCTACATTGTAGGGATTTATGGCCTTTATATACCACCAAATTCTCACACTATCATTTCAAGAAATGTGTGGCAATCAGTATGGAGATTCGGTATTTTGATCACAGCGCTTTTAGTCTCCTAAATGCAGTTACGCCTGATGTGACTGGTGGCACGTCCATGCATTCCAGAAGCTAACAGATCCCAACAGTACTATAATCACAACTGTATAAACAACAATTTTCTTTTTCCAGCCCCATTGCGATATTATCAAGAACGTTAGCCAAGACGTTTTCAGGAAATTCCGAGAAGGCATGATCAAGTAAGTGCTGCTGAAGTTTTCATTCTTAGCACAACAACACATGCTGTCTTCTTTCACTAAATCTCCGTAGAAGCACTCGGAAGTTTCCGACTCTTAAGCGAGGGTAGTTCAGACGTTTGTCGCCAGTGGATTGCACCGTATTGCTTAACAACTTGGACAACCAAACTGCAGTCTGCCATATCTCGGAACGGGATTCCGAACGAAAAACCGTGTAATTTGCATTGTTGACCGAGTGATCCGGGCAACGTTTTCCTCGCAATACGTCAGTTTCGTTACAAGTTGAAAAGCGTTATTGCGCAAAGTACATGTTCACCTGTGTTGCAGATTGCAGCAACATGTTGGCTGTTGCGCGAAGTAAAAATGAGTTCATCTTAACGCAACATGTTACTGTAACGTGCAAAATGGTGGCAATACTCGCAGCACCTTACAATGCAGTGCAACGCTTTTCGTCTTGCAATAGAACATTGTTACACGCCAAATTGCGAAGAAAATGTTTCCCGTATTACTTATAGCTTCAACGATTAATTGTCTTTTATTATTGTTATTGTTTTGCAGATGTATTTTGTCAACGGATATGGCAAGACACAACGAAATCTTAAACAAATTTAAAGACATTTTGGCGGATGGTTTTAGCTTTGAAAACGAGGTTCACAAGTCTATGGTAAGGCATGGTATTCAGTGTAACGTTTCATTTCTTAATGTGAGGGAAAGTTAACACAATATTCAGAAAGAGCTACAGGATCCTACAGGACTGAACTAAAATGATAATAATAATTACTGTTATACTACATATTATATATCTAAGGGACTAACCTCCAAAACTGCGCAGAACTTCGTAAGAGTGCTTTTATAGGTTTGATTGTATTTTATTCCTCATTTTGTTACAGTTGATGCAGATTATGATTAAAGTATCGGATGTATCAAACGAAGCTAGACCGATGGAGGTCGCCGAGCCTTGGCTGGACTGCCTGTTGCAGGAATTCTTCATCCAGGTTAACTTTTTTGACTCGTTTCCTTTTTATACCAAATCGTACTTTTCTGGTACGCTTCGACGGTTAATCAGGCGAGCTTGATCGAACCATGGTTCGTATTTTGACGAGACGTAGTTGAGCCAAAATACCTATGGCGAAACCGAACGAGCCTGATTAACCGCCGAAGCGCACCAGAGAGGTCGAAAAAGTTACACAGTGAAAGTAATATGAGCATTCTAAGACCGGCTAACTTGAGAGCATTTCGAATCTGTTCTTTCTTTTTCTTTCCTGATTAGAGTGATGTGGAAAAGCTGGAAGGATTGCCAGTAGCACCTTTTATGGACAGAGACAAGGTGAAAAATCTCGTCATTTTATGATAAACGTTGTGTTCGTCTTCCTTGTTGCTTTCCGCCATTTTTGTAGCTTCCATGTACATCTGTCACAGTCTTAAGGTTGTTTCCCGCCATAATTTCCCGCGTCCGTCACAGTCATCAATTGTTTCCCGCCATAATATGTCACGTCCATCAGGCTTACTAAAATGCCAACAAGGGTAACCATGAGTGGAGTAGTGGACATATTTACTATACGGAAATGTGATTTTTTTCTCTTTTTTTTTCCCTTGTATTTCAACAGGTCACCAAACCGTCAGCTCAGATTGGTTTCATACGCTTTGTTTTAACTCCTTTGTTTGAAGCTCTTGGACAGCTCTTTCCAGTCCTGGAGGTAACTATGATTTCTTTTATGCTGCCTCATCTTTATTAGTCATTGATCACCACGTGGCGGGTGCCACGCTAAAACATAGGGCTAGAAACAAGTAGGCCCTGCCAAGCGCAGGAAAAGTAACAAAGGCGCAGCAAAGGCGGGAAAAATGCCCGGCATGTAGCAATTGCAAGCGCGGGGAAAAGTGGCGTCATGTGAGTGCTTCCGATAGTGTAAAAGTAGCGTCAGAAAGACCCTTTCAAGCGCGGGAAGACTAGTCTTTGGTACCTGCGACTGCTTTGGTTTAGCTTTTGATTGGCCCAGAGCAAATACTCTTTGCTGTGATTGGCTAACGTTGACTAGGAACAAATTATCCCGAGGAGAATTAAAAAATGCGACAGGCGTAAGGATAACTTTGGTATTGAGTCTGAAAGTCATTTGCTTTTTTACCAGGGGCCTCTTATCGCGCCAGTTCGAAAAGCTTTGAGCTACTACACTCATATGGGCAAAACAATGGAGGAGGAACTGAAGAAACAAGAAAAGAAACACTCCAGAGAAGAACATCAAGAAAAAATAGAAACCAAAGTCGATATTATAGAAACGACGGAAGAGAAACAAGAAACTATTGAGACGACGGAAGAAAAACAAGAAAAGATACTGCTGAAAGAGGAACAAACTGACAATAATGTAGAATCCTAAGAGGCAATCAGGCAGCAAAAATAAGTGTGTGGATTCTCGGATTCCGCGTCTACCGTCGCCCGCCTAGTTACATTATAAACAAGCAAAGGTTTACTGGAGGATGTTGGAAATAGTTTTCAACTGAACGGAGATCCAGTAATTCTTTGTTGGAGTTAGAATCCACCGAGAATTTTTTTTGTCGTCATTACGCTACAACTGAAATTTTTGGTCATCCGCTGGCAACCTCGTTGTCAGGGTCGGCGAGAGACTCTTGGAACGAGGGTTTTCGCTCGGCACCAACCTTGACCTTTTTAATACATAACGATTTTAAACTCCGTTCGATGATTGGTTGAGCAACACGTGATCAGTAATTGCCACGCAAGTGTTTCTCTCGCTGCTCGCAATATCGTTGCCCGGTAGATGAGTACCACGTGGTAAATTTTGGCCAATGGCGCAACAGAAAAATTACTGGTGGATTCATAAATGTATATTTACTTAATATTTATTGACAGATTATGGAGAATGGACTTCATATTTTCATACTCTTGTACAATATTGAACATTTCAAACGAATGAAATCGTTCACAAAGATCAAAGCATTGCAAAAACCGATTTATACAAAACCAACCCTTTCTATTTCATGAATTATGTAATTTCACAAACCGAACATGCGAACATGTCCACTTTTCATTACACTTTTCAATTTCGTTGTCATCGTTGAAAAGATTTTGGTTTTGTTTTGTTTTGTTTTTGTTTTGTGTTTTTGCAAGCAGAATTATCAAATCCCCAGCTGAGCCGGGTTGTTCAAAGCCTGATTAAGCTAACCCAGGATTTTGATTTGAGTTTTGTAACTTTGCGTTGAGGTTTTCTGTTTATATTGTTTGGCCTTCTGTTTTGAGTCTGAATAATCTCAAACTACACAAAACATAAGCCGTAGCCTGCGTAGCAAGCGTTTCTGTGGGGTTCGGGAGCAAAGAATTACAGCGCGAAAAATGGAGCGAGTAAAAGAGGGGGGAGGTTTCTTCCTTCCCCTCTCCCACCCCCCTCTTTCTTTTTTTTTGGCTCTCGCCCCATCTTCCGCGCAGACAAAACACCGAAAATCCCGTTCCTCGGTCTTTCTTTGCTTCCAAACCCCACGGAAACGCTTACTACGCAGGCTGCATAAGCCGTGAAAAACATTTTTATACTAGAAAATTTATACTTCGGTGAACTTTTAATCTCGGGTTAGCCAGTGAACCGGCTTCCGAAAAACCCGGCCCAGGATTTAAGGGAAAACTTCGTATTCAATGATACAAATTGTTGACATTGAAAATTATTTCTTTCATACTTCTATTATTATTTTACAACGGCTTTCAAACTGTAAAAGAAAAACGCTGTTTAAACTTAAATCAAAGCTGGGTTAGCGTTTAGATCTTTTAATCCATGAACAATGGGGTCTTGTTGTTAAAAAGAGATTGTACAGTATATCGCAGTAAGAGATAATTTATTGTTTCCTCTCAAAAGACAAATCAGCGTTAGCAAGGCTATCGGGTAGGATTGATTTTCATTACGAAAGCAAAAGAATTTTGCTGGAGTGTAGTCATAGTTACATGCTCGTCGCTGGTATTAAGCGTAGGTTATCACAAGGTAGTGGCACTAAAGCTGTCTACGATATNCTCGACTACATCGCACCCTCGTTGGAACCTCGTGCAAAATCGCCCTCTCCTCCTTTCATGAGCCTTCAGTTCTGCTTGTCAGTGTAAAACGACAGCACGTCTTTCCACGCCCAGGCCTCCTCGGCGTTCACCGCCTTTAAGCTCCAGTCCCTCTCGTCGGTTTTTACTAGAACCACACACGGGTCGCTGGGGTCGATTTTTACGGGGCAGCCTCTCAAATAGATGGAATTGATTGGTTTTCCTCCGTCAGGTTTCTTGTAGTAGTACAGATAACCCGTGTCTGTGAGCTCGAAGTATCTGTTGTCCCACTTTCGTGTTTGATGTTTTCCTCCGCTGAGCTTTTCTAGAAAGCCTTGCTTTGTTGGTTTGGGGCCGGCCCTCGCTGGCGGCTTCGGTGGTGATTTGGTGCTCAACTGAAAGGGCAAAATAATTAGCGCTTTCGTCTTTAGGGTGATCAACAGCCAATTTCTCCTTAAGAACTAACAGACTGGTTTTGAGAAGAAAGAAGATCAACAGCAGACTAAGGTGACAAATATATCTCTTAACCCTCAAAAGTGGCGTCCTGTATTCATACAACGTCTAAAAACCCACACTTCTGAAGTGGGCCTACTGAGAACCGAAGAAATTCAAATCGCGTTCTTAGCCAGCGCAACTGCTTTCACACGGCTTTGACTTTAAAATTAGAACGTATAGTGCATGGCAGTGGAAACAAATCTTGATGCGACCCTGATTTGAATGAGCCCAAATGACAATAGTTATCCTGTGTGCGCATTTTGCATGAACGTTTTCTACAATTTTGGCACAATTAATGTTTTCGTGTTTTTTCATAGTAGCATTTCTTTAGACAATTGTTTGAGATCCTCTACGTTTTTGTGAGAAGTTTAGACCTACTAAGCCTATGAATGGACACAGCTCCTTGTCTAACACATTAATATTGAATAACAAAACATAACTAACTTTAAATCACAGTTTGGAAGAGTGCAAGTGAATTCTCGAGAGATTGTACGGGTATATTAGGAATTCACAACGTGACCAGCTCAGTTAATAGAGAACCGCACCGGTATCGTAGAGGTCATGGGTTCGAATCCCGTTCTCGAGCTTGATTTATTTCATTCTTTTTCTAGGCTTGTGGGCATAACTGCGATGACCGAGGATATGTTGCAGCGACAGTTTTCCTCGTGTAACATGCCGCTTTCCGGGCTTCACGTACCCGCAACATATCCCCTTGTGTCTACTGACCTTAAAATTTTTCTCCGCAGTTCAAATATATCATCCCTGATATTCACTTGAAAACCTACCTGCTTGTGAATAACAGGGGGCGGTCCACTAGACAGGCTGTTTTGATCTTTATTCGACGGCTTTCTTTCCAGGATAACATCTTTATTCGCGACTGACGGCTGCAAAATAACACAGGCAACCCTCATGCATAACAGAACAAAGCATGACCAAGTTAGAGACTATAGGAGTATTCACAATCTGTTAGCAGTCATGATGGTAACTTTACCACGAAGCGTGCTCGGCAGTGTCGAACTCAAGAAACATTCGGAAAGAGAGCGGGATTTGAACTTCAATTTGCAATGAATGTGTTGGCTTCAGTTTTTGCACGAGAACATCCACGTTTATGACCCCAAAAAATGTCCGATCTTCAAGGGAATGAGCCCAGGCCACTGTGGGTACTGGCGCGATACAAAGGGCAGCGCCAACCCAGAATCCGTCGGAACGTTTCAAAGATTACGACTTCGTGAGAAGTTCTGTATATGAATAAAATCTTGGCGTCTGGTTCTTACCTGCTCATTCCGATTGGTTTTGCCTGCATCAACATTGTCTTGATCAAAGGTAGTGGATGTGGAAGATAAAGAACTCATGGAAGCTACTGAGATCGTGTCCTGAAACAGAAAACAGCATTAGAAGGAAACAGCGTCCTTGTTGAGTTTGATACAATTTGGGTGGCAGCACTTGTAAGGTCTCACAGGCCTGACGCCTCCAGTTGTTTATACACAGCTAAACAATACAAGGAAAAAAGAGTTCACTGAATAACATTGTGGTCAAATTTTCTCCATGAAACTGAAAGTTAAATACGCAGGACTTACATCTGTGGACTTTTGCCTCTGCGCGATGGCCTCTCTGAAAAACAATAACAATAAAATATTAAAAACTGTTCCTATTCACAGCTAGTCATTTGACCGGCTTAATCATTAGAACTAAAAATTGCCAGGTTGCAGAAATGATGCTGACTTATAAGGGCGACTTATTGACTTTTGCCCACTAAATGAAGTATTGAGTCTCTCTGAAAGGACTCCAGCACTCATACTTCATTCATTAAAACCCTCAGTCATCGCGCGCATAACTTCACATGTTTTGTTCTGAAATCTATAACGAGCGTTCGTTATTTCGTTGCATTTTGCCACTGAGGGGAAGGCAGCAACTTCGAAACGACTGCACTTTCAGGTACCTACAAGTGTATTTAGGTCCATATTTCGACAACTAACACTTAAACTTAAACATTTTTTCAGTTTTAGCTCTGTGTGAACATTACTTTATAGCTCACCTGAGCCCCTATAGTTAAATGCTCATCTGAGCCCCTATAGTTTAATGCTCACCTGAGCCCCTCTAGCTTGACGCCCTTATTGTGTCTACTTCCGTGCTGATGTTCTTTCAAGGCCTTTTTGAACTGAGCCATGAAAGTGCTTATTGCACCGAAGAGTTCCTCTGAATCACTGCTCTGTGATTCACCGAAAGAAGCCTGTTGAGCACAGGAGCAAAATTCATTAAATTCGGTTAGAGTAACAACTCTGTTTCATAAAGTCACCACAATAAAGGAAGTTTAAAACAGAGTAGTCGATTCTTGTGGTACAGTGGGATAGCTCAGGCACTTATTTAGAAAGAAAGGTCTCTCCAAAAATTGCGACGTCTTCAAAATGCTGGAAGATAATCTGTAACAGATTAGCCTCCCACCTGGAAAAAAATTACTTTAGTTGCTTCATACCGTAAAAGCCAGAGTTTATGAGCGGCATCTGATCAAATTTTATTCCCTAGGCCTATTTGATAATGTCTCATTCACCCCTTTCTTTTTTTTAACTCACACGACCTGTTCTCTCGCACTCTCGCACTCTCGCACTGTACGCGCAGGCGTGCGTATCGCTCACGTTACTTTTACCAGTTTACTTACCAAGACCTTGTTGTAGATCTGCTTCATCTGTTTACACTTATCACACAGCTCATTTAGTTTCTCTTCGTATTCACTGACAAACGCCTGCATTGTTGGCAAATTGTTGAAGGACAACATAGCAAAAAAATTGACAAACAAATTCAAAGGGATGGGAGAATAAATACGAGAACACTAGACGGAAACGATAGCATAAAGGATTGAGAAGTCTAGTCCAAGCCTAGCTGGTATCTTTACGTTGTTTCCTCTGGAAAGACATTTTCTTCTTATACATAACCGTAATGTTGGACACCAAAAAATAAATAAATAAGAATTTGCAGTGGCACATCCCTCGGAGAGGCTCTTCGTCCACTGTTTCAGATCGAATTCGAATCTAGAAGTGTTGGTTTTCGTGGAGGGTGGAAAACCGCAGAACCCGGAGAAAAACCCTTGGAGCAACGCGAGAACCAACAACAAACTCAGCCCACATTGCTCCCCTAAAACCAAATTACCCAGACAGTATTATAATCAAACCCATTAAAACACATCTTCCTTGGTGGATGGCGCTATCAAATACATATTATATGACAAGGATACTTCCACATCGTTGTACAGTTTCACATCCTTGGGATTTGTCTGGTTCCTCTTCAAGAATAAATCACTGGAATGTTTCTTTATTTTCAGGAGGTCCTTCTTCATCACTGCGAGAAAATGAGGATGCATTCCGTATAAAGAACATGGCATACCACTCGATAGTCACATAACAGCGTTCAACATAGCGAGAGATTAGTTTTAATTCTGTTTAATTTAAATTTTGAGATTTGTGATCAGGGCGAACACACGCCTCAAACGTAAACCCGGCACTCCAAAATGAATAAAAAGTCAAGATTTCTGCACATATGCACTGGCGCTAAACTGCATCGATCCATCTTGTGGCAAAAAGTGGAAAAATGAATGTAAACGCTTGCAAGCGCGGGAAAAGTCACGTAATTCAAATCACGACTGGTTTGGTTTTGAGGGCAAAGAATTCTCTTGCGATTAATGTTCTGAAGTCTAAATTAGAAAGTCAAGAATTTAAATACAAACCAAAGCAGACACAACTTTAAAGTTCAAAGGTGTTCAAAAGCGCTCTAGAACACAAGACAACGCCACACAAAACAAAGTGATTTTACAAACCTTCTACTTCAGCGAATAGAGCCTTGGATGAACCTGTAGAGGGATAAAATAAACACAAATTTGAAAGATCGTACTCTAAAATTCATCACATGTGAAAACCTAAAAGAAGATCCACCCGCATCCTACGCACTAAACAATGCTGGTGGTGCTGTTCTGAAAAAAAAAAAATGCTGCACGAGGCGACAAATCTGCGTTGAGTTTTTTCAAGCATATTGCATTGAATTCAAATTTCCTTTTGGCGATGTCTTTCAGCGGTCAAAATGTGAGGGTTTCAAATCTTAAAATGTGATTGACATGAGATGGTATTTTTTGATATCTGATGAATAATTAAGTTCTCATCACCAGTCTACTAGGCAATGTAAGGATATTGCAAGGAGAAATTTGAGGTCAGTCTGTTTACTACTTACATGCTGCAGCTTTGGGTACGCTTTTGAGTTCGTCAGTAAAATTCAGTGTTTCAGGGTTTGACTGCTGCAGTTGAAGTATAAGGAACTTCAGAAGTGTGTATTTCTTGTTGTTCCCACGGATATCTGCCAACTGGAAATATATAATAACAAAATATAAGAATAATTAATTGGAAAGGCCGGGGTGAAGAGAGAGTTGATTTGTACGTTTAAGGGTGATCTGGATCAGGATCGGTGATCCGAGGTCACTGGGATCACAGTGCATCAAAGGAACCGATGAATCCGTGACCAGAGTGGATTCATCGGTTCCTTGGATGCACTATGATCCAGACAGATCTTGGATCACTGATCCTGATCCAGATCACCCCAAAGGAACACACCTTAAGTGTGCAAGACGTCGATCACACCGAAAAATTTCCACGATAATAATTCCCTAGGCTTCTATTTGTTCCAAAGGCGATTATGGCACGATTATACCTGNCAAAAAAAAAAACAAAAAAGAAGAATTAAATTGGAAACATCGTACTCCAACCCTTCAGTTGCCACATCGCAGATAGTTCAGTAGCGTATGCAATGGTTTTGGATGTTTGCTTTAACTTCTGCGAGAAAACAGCATCGAAAAACTCTGAGGTATATTAGATGAAAGATAAGATAAGATAAGATAAGAACTTTATTAACGTGTCAAAGTCGCTAGCATACAGTGTATACTAATTGGGGACACCTAACTACACAAATAAAAGCAAAGTGGGTTCAAAACCTGAATGAAAGGCTTGTAAGCTGTAAAGTAACGCCAAGATTCTACCCTGTTTTATAAGCCGGTGAGAAGCTCGCAGCGAGGGGTTTGAGAAATTTCCCGCCCCCGTCCCAATCCCCTCGCCGTTTAGTAATCAACTGCAGTTTTAACTTACTGGCGCAAGATCTTCAAACTGTGTTGGGAATTCCATAATAACCAGAAGTAAATCCAAGCGTTTCTCCAGGTCATTAATCTCGCAAAGCTAATTCAAAGAGAACATAAATAAGAACAAACAGAGAACAAAATCAAAGGTGCAATCACTAAGGACTAACTGCAGTCTCGATAACCTCTTGTTACGGCAATGGTCACCGTTTATCAGCGACCGTTAGATCAGGGAAACTTCATGACATCATATTTCATTCAAACGATTTACCATGGAGAATTTCTTAAATAATTTTGCCATCTTAGTTTCCATCGATATCGCTCGAAGAAACCTTTGTTCTTAGAAATGCAGTTGACCCAGTAACTCGAGCCTCGCGCTAACTCGAACCAAAATTTATTTCCTCTGGATAGCCTTACACGGTATCCAGTAATTTTAACTTCGATAGCTGGAAATTTGCGCTAACTCGAACGGGCTTTTTTTCCCTCTTCAGGATATTTTCTTTATAAATTTACCCTCGATAACTCAAACTCTCGTTTTTCAAAGTCTAATCAGTCCGGACTCTCTAAAATAATCGAGACAAATAGAATGGCTGTAAAGCGTCAGAGACTATTTTTTTGGTACTCTTCTACTGTTCTGCAACACTGTAGCTCACGTGTTACTGATGTGTTATTACCTTCATCATAAACTGATCCTCCGGTACTAAAGTGCTGGGATCCTCCTTGTAGTTCTTGTACATCTCAGCTTCTTCAGTTGATGGCAGAAACCTGTTTATAAAAAGAAGTAGCCTCTTGAGTCTCAAGACCTTTTAAAAAACAAAGCTAGACTAGCCAAGACAAGACAAAACTAAACTACACAACACTTAAATAGAGACAAAATTAGACTAGTAATTGGACTAGAATGTACTACGCTACAAAACCAAACACAACACTAGAATACCAGACTAGAGTGGACTAAACTAGACTAGACTAGAGTAGACTATTGTCTGCATTAGCCTAACTAGGCTAGACTAGATTAGACAAGACTAGCCTAGACTAAATTAGACCAGTTATTGGACTAGAATGGACTACGCTACAAGACCACAACAATAAACTACCAGACTAGAGTGGACTAGACTAGACTCAAGTAGACTATCCTATTGTCTACATTAGCCTAGACTAGATTAGATCAGACTAGCCTAGACTAAATTAGACTAGGCTAGCCTAGACTCAAGTAAATTAGACTAGGCTAGACCAGGCTCATTTGACCTTCATTTGCACACTGACCTTTTCAAAGCGATCACCTGATCCATGGGTAGGGCACCATCTTCTTCTCTAAAGACACTTAATTTCTCATCAATTTCTTTTGTACTGAGTTTGAATCCGCTCAAGAAAATACCTGTAGGTAATGATAACATCCCAATGAGCTCGTCTGTTCCCTTACATATGCAAACACAAAACGAGCACAAACGAGATTAAGGTTTGGCTAAGTCCGCCTTGAGCATGCGAGCTTACCCAGATTTTGCGCTCGTTTGGGATCCAAGAGTGTCTTTGCAGCTGGCTTTGTTGGTGCTGTTTGAACAAAAATAGTTATAATTAGTATTAGATTTACGCATCAAGACGCTTTGTTTTAAGATCAATATAGATATTACGAGTAAAACTGATGCAGCGTTATTTCCAGCGACAGAAATAACGGGTTGACTAATAGAAATTTGAATTTTCTTTTCATTTCAAAGTTAGAATTAAATGCGGCATTAGAAATGTTTTAAAAATTTTTTGCTCACTTATCCACCTTCTTGTACATTTAGGCCCCGTTCACCCTACGCCGGTGAAATTTGAAAACGGCGTTTCCACTCTGAAACACATCAAATGTTTTATGTCCACACTACGCCAAAGAAATTTGAAAACGCAACAATCACCGGTGTTTGAGAAAACCTCAGGCAGGGAAATCACGTGATCATCGTGATGTCATCGTTTTCAAAAAGTTCCGTTTTCAAAATGTTTTCCGTCCACACTGGTCCACGCTAGAACGCAACGCCCGCATTTCCAAATTCCTCCGGTTTGAAGAGCGTTTTCGAAAAGCTCCGTTTTCGTGACGGATTAGTGCGGTCGGTAGGCCTAACCGTAGAAATAAAGCTGCGTTTACAAACGTCTCCAGCCTAGTATGGACGGGACCTTAATTTACCTGGATTCAAGACTTTTTCCTTTTCTTCTATCTGAAACATCTCCTCCAGTAATTCCAAGTTTATGCTCTTTGTGCGATCAGCAATATTCATCCATACTGAATTGGAAACCTGATTGAAAATATTTTAAGTAATCGTCAATTTAGATTTAATCTTGGTTTATCACAGAAAATAGATTTTGTAGTAGTTAGTTAATATGGTTTCGATCTGATCTGTTGATTTAATCTTCATCGATGAGTTATGTCGTTGATAGTACATCCAGCTTAAAATTAAGCGTATATTTTTCGAAATTCTTCTCAGTCTCCTCCAATCCTAATCACCCTTGTCTTTTTTTATCTTTTTAGAGTTAACCTACCTTACAAAACCTATCTTGGAAATCTTTCATATTTTCTTCAAGTATATTTGAAGATAATTTTGTAATGCACCAAAAAATGGCTTGCCCTCATGACAGCGTTCATTCATCGTTCATTCATTCATGTTTCCTTGCGAGGTTGTTCTATTAAAAACTGAGAAAAACTTGTAATAAAATAATCAACTGTATCAAAACGTCTCTCTCTACAATTAACTACAAATCTAGAATTTAAAGAAAACATTTCCAAACCCTGAATTACCAATTGTGCTGGTACTTTGTTCCAAAAGAAAGGCCGCAGTTTGACCTTGGACTGAACAGCGCAGGGTCTTCCAAGAGCACTGCCAACGCTTGGTGCCATCAGGGGAGGAGGTGGGGGCACTCCACTGGAAGGGAGGGGTGGGGGAGGCGGTGGATTGCTTCCTGATGTAGGTTTTGTCTCTTCTAAAAGCACGATATCTTCAACTTCCTCAGCAGCTTTTGAAACAAGCAAGACAAAGTAACATTATAAATATAACTTTTTGAAAAAGAATCTTGATTAACTTATTAGATGGGAAAATACCGAGAGACTTTGAAGGCTTATAGACTTCTTGAAAACAAAAATTGAAGTCTTCCAATTGTCAAAATAATTAGGTTCATCCTGGATTGTACAAATATTAACAGCAGTGCTGCTGTTGTTCTCAATATAGTTTGCTGTATTTCGGTTTTACAAAAATCTTTTCTTTTTTTTTTGTTTTGAGTATGATGCTCTGTCTGGACACTCAAGCTGTAGTGTTACACGTACGAATCAAGGAAAAGGTTAACAGATGATGAACAACGGACAGTCGATACTGATAAGATATTAAAATATATTACAGAGACCCGGTATTAGTAGAATCACAAAAGAAAGCAGACAGTATGGAATGAGTAAAATGACTTAACCAAGTGAAAGAAGAATACAGCAGCTTTAGGAAAATGGTGGAGTGAAAAAGACTGATTATAGTGGTGGTGATGATGAGGCTGATCATTTCTTTTAAGGTGACACTGATCATTATGACACTCAGGACACTGTCAATCAAAAGTACAGTTGCTCAACTAACACTTGTAAATGGTTGCCAGAAGTTTAAAGAATTGGACAAAATCAGTGAAAGCCTCATATGAAAAAAACCTGGAGGTTTTTTTTTTCTAAACCTTCAGAAGGATTGGTAGACAATATTACAAATGTAATTAAGAGTGGTAAGCATGCACTTTACATTTTTGAGCACAAGGTTACATTACTTTGTTAACCAGCTCATGTGACTTCTGGAAACCATATAAGTGCTAGCACTAACGCCTTTGATTGACAAGGTCCCTGGACAGCTCCAAAGGTCCAATCGCATGGAGATGAACAGACGATGTGGATGACGAGTTGCGCATGTCTCTAAACAGCAGACACACATACCATGGGTCGCTATCAGATCAGAACTTTTCTCGTTCAGCTTCTGAACAGAAAGTAACACCACACCTTCTTTTGTTTGTTTCTCCTTCAGTATCTGCCGCCTCTCTTCCATTGCCGTCTGAATATCTTTGCATCCCATCCCACCGGAATCAATTTCATTTACATCGCTAAGCTTACCATCTGTAGCTTCAGTATCAGCCGTACTTGATGTTTCCACTTTGACCTCCTGAGAGGTTTTAATGTCGTTTTTGATGATACCAGAATCACTAGTACCCCCAGTAAATGTACCAAGACTTGAGAGTGATCCAGATTCGCCTTGACCGTCTGTCAATGACAAAGGCGTGTTCTTGATGTGAACATTATCATACACATCGTCGCTAAAGGCTGTTATACTAACTGGCGCTGGTGGCGCTTGATAAATACTTGAGCTATCATCAGCCTCTGAACTGATAAAACTGCCAGGTTTTGGTGGTCTTGGTGGCTTGTGCGGCGACCAAGGCTCACCAACAGCTCCATCCAATCCTTCAGAAGACTGCTGTGCTTGAGGTTTTCGAGGAATTATTTCCACTGTTTCATAAGCATTTACCGCAGAACCACTTCTACCTGTAGGCCTCACTGGAGGCACAGTTTGTTGGGGCGTGCTATCTGCTGTGCTTGATAACTCAGAGGGTTTATGAGGGCGTGGGGGTGGCATATACTCAGGGGAAGACTGTTCATTGGGTGTTGTTTGTACAGGTTTAGGCTTAGATGACCACTGTGGGATTTGCACTGCCTCATAACCATCGTCCCTTTGAGGAGGCAGACTGGGAAGCCTATCACTATCTTTTCTCCTTGGTGGTGATGTTTTGGTTGACGGAGGTGAAGGTGCACTGCTGTCTTTGAGTGACTCTTTTCTGGATTGAGGTACGCTGGTATTCCCTTCTTTTAGAGAGTCCTTTCTGGACTGAAGCACTTGCCTCCTAATCAAATAAATAAATAATAAATACATTAACCTTGTTGTCGTCAGGTGATCTGGAATAAAAGAACTTGTTTATTCAGTGGTTTCCCCTAATTAAAGAGATCAACATCAAAGGTCTCATTACAGTTTTACAGATAATTTCTTTAACCATCATTGGGAGAATTTAGCTTAAGTTCATAAATTTTCTACAATAATTATTACAATTTTGATTCCAATAACCTGTAACCTTAAAGCTGTTATCACACAGAACAGAGAAAATAGAAACTGATCACTTCTCATGAATCCTAACGCTCTGTTATAAGACTTATCAGACCCTTAGATTGGCAATAAAATATTAAGAAATAAATACTATCAATAAATTTCAATACTTTAATATATAGTTTGAACCTAGTCATACACAAATAGCACAATCACATTTCCTTTGAAATACACTATCAATAACAATTTTCACTAAGGATGGCTGCCCAGNCCCACTTACTGCACCCACTTTGCAGAGTGTGTTGCTGTCATCCCTATTTTATTTCAGGGTGCACCTAACAACCTTAGTTCTGTTTACTGCCAAACAATTAACACATAGTTTTAGCAACAAAACAAACAGTGGACAAATCATCGATTCCTGATATTATTTCACTGGCCTCTCAGTTGACCATGTTGAGTCAGCTACAGCTTCTTTTACATTTTTGTTGGATCGAAAGAGTTTCATTTTTCACCATACCTGTATTCCTTCTTGCTTGTGATGATAATAAAAGTATTGTGATCCACACTCTTCACTTCAGCTAATCCTGGGCCCAGTTTAACAATGTTCAAAGCTGGCTGTAGCCACAACAGATAAAAAATTGAGATGACACTCATTTTAAACACAGGTATGAGATGTTTGGTTAACAAGAAAAACACACTGTAAAAATACCACTCAGATAATAAATTTAAACTTGTTTTTGTCTTTGACTTAACACCAGCCCTCGTGAACTCAGGCTGGTTAAAAACTAGTTCCAATTCATTAAGGAAACAAATCAACGTACTGGTAGACTCAGTACAAAAACTGATTTAATTTAATAACCTCGTTTTCTTCTCCCATCTTGAAATATGACAATTCTCCTTGCTGGATTCTCAGCCATCGCCTGAGGAAGGAAACAATATGAATTTTATCAGCAATCTAATCTGATCATAGACAGGACATACACAATTGTGACCTTAGGAGTGGAAAAAAGGAAAAGCACCAGTAACCATATGGAGGCTAAGCCTAGTAAGATAAGTAATCAAAGACAACATTGTCAAGTATATAACTGGAAACGTAGACATGTTGCTCTGTAGTTGGTTTGCATTTGCTACATGTAAATCCTTTGAGAAATACTTAATCATCTGTCATTTACAGGAAACAAAAGATTTCCAGTCTGCATCAGCTATTTGTCTCAATGCTCTCATTTTTAAAAATGTTGTATTATAGACTTTGCATGAACAATTTTAAACCAGTTTAAGTTAGACATCAATTAAATCTTATTTTGTGGATCAAAAGGAAGTTTAATTAGACTATGTCCCAGACCAAACATGTTCTGCGTGCATAATGCACCAGGTTTTTCTTACCTCGGCCACATCATGAAGGCAGCACTGTGACCTTTCTTCTCAATTGGACCTTCTTTGATAATTTTTGCTCCATCAAGAGATGATGTTTCAAAATTCCCTGTTCACATGAAATCACAGCAAAAGGACAATTTCATTGTAAGTGCCCATATTTAGACTTATACATGTGCAACTGAGAAAACTGCACTTCAAATTAAATAAGAAAATATACACTAAAACTGTTTCAAGAAATATTCTCCCACTAAGTGACATAAAAATATGTCCAACAATGTTATAGTTCAGTAGTGTGGTGACATCTGGTAGATATCCCAGAGTGAGGGAGTGCGTCTTTTCCTGCCATTGCTAGCTTGCTGCTTGCCTTTTGCAACATTTTCTTCTTGCCTTTTTTGCCGAGTTTGCACCCAACAGGCCCAGCTTCTGGGATTATTATGAGTGAATGTAATTATGATAAGTTTTCCACTAAGCCTCTCAGTGGAATGGGTGCATGGTTGGGGTAGGGCTCTGACTGGATTGCCATGATCATCTCCGAGCACCTGTCAGATATCCCCAGCTAACTAAGCAGCACCCAATCTCATGCTCATCACTGGCAATGCTTTCAAAATAAATAAAATGTTTACCATCGGGTTGATCACCCCTGTTCTGCTGCACAATGGAATCTAGCAAATGGCAAATCTGTTTAAAAAACCAAACAACATTGTTTATTAATGATGTGAAATATATATGAAATAATTAATATTTGAACTGCGGTTGTAGATGAAAGTGAAGAAAGATCATCACAGTAAATTTTCCAATTTACATGCAAGCAATTGGAAAGAAGAAGCCTGAAAAAAATCAGGGCTTCAACAGGATTTGAACCTGAGACCTCCACGAATACCAGTGCGATGCTCTACCAACTGAGCTATGAAGCCGCATATTGGGAGCGAGGTCAATTAATTGAGTTCATATCTTCCCCTGAGGAGTGAAATGATGTGAAGTATATATGAAATAATTCCTATTTGAACTGTGGTTGTAGATGAAAGTGAAGAATGATCATCGCAGTAATTTGTCCAATTTAAGCAATTGGAAAGAAGAAGCCTGAAAAAAATCAGGGCTTCAATGGGATTCAGAGTATATATGAATTATTTCATATATACTTCACATCATTTCACTCCTCAGGGGAAGATATGAACTCAATTAATTGACCTCCCTCCCAATGTGTCGCTTCATAGCTCAGTTGGTAGAGCATCGCACCAGTATTTGCATAGGTCACAGGTTCGAACTCCGTTGAAGCCCTGATTTTTTTCAGGCTTCTTCTTTCCAATTGCTTAAATTGGAAAATTTACTGCAATGATCATTCTTCACTTTCATTGTTTATTAATGTCATTTCCAAAAAAATACTATCACTACACCAAAAATGGTGCTTACTGACTTTCTGAGGCTCTCACTGCAAGAATTGACCAGAAAATTTTTTCAGTTACAATTTGTTACTTCTCCAAAAAGGAGGGGGTGACTAGCCACCCAATCCACCCCCTCCCCTACAAGATCTACCCCTAGCTAAAATTGATTTTCAGCTTAATCTAACTATTTATACAGGAACTCAGCAAAGCAATTGATCATCCTTTCACACCACCAATTCAATCTCCCAACCTGACCTATCACACCTCAGTCCATGCACTTAAACCTGTTAATAGTTAGTTCACAAATTGATATTACATGTAGGCCATCCAGTGTACCAGATCTGGTAGTTACAATATTACTGCAGGGCTGCAAGGTTAGAGCTTTCCAATCGAATACCAAATTAATTCCCACCTTATTCTTCTCTTCAACACTGTCAGCATCCAGCTCATAATCACTATCAAAATAGATGTAAAACCTCACACCATCCTGAAATACAAATTCACTGATAAGTCTTTTAAGAATGTAAGAGCTCAGAAATAGAACAAATTGGCTTTTTTTTGGCCAAATGAAAACAACCAAAAGGAAGGACAAACCGTATGAACAATAATTAATGGGCTCCTGAAGAAGACCAAACATGTAAATGGGTAGTAACCAGAACAAACTTCATTTAAAATAAGCCACACCATCTGTGACCACTTAATCTAGGTTAATTCACATTTACAATCTAGGTTTTAGTACTTTGTTGTTCTTACAGCTGACATCATCTGACTTTCCATCTCCAAATGGGTGCATAGCAAGACAGAAAACAGGAAGACTTTCAAAATACTTGTTAAAGTTGATTACCACTCATTTCTCCCGAGCCCTTAGGAGATCATATTTAAATATATTGAATGAAAAGGATTCATTGTCTGGAGAAAAGACTCAGGACATACCTCACTATCAAAACCTCTGACGTCAGTGAATGCAAACTTCTTGTTTCTCTTTCCCTTCTGGATAATACACAGTACTTTTTCTTGAAAGTCAAACTAAAAGAGACAAGGAGAAACATACTTCAAGACTGACAATATATCCTAAATGCATGAATTATTACACTGCAAGAGTAATTAATAGCTAAGGGTTATCATTTCTAACAACACTTATTATTATTATTATTATTATTATTATTATTATACCCAAAATTTGCTATTACTATTATTATTATCATTATCATTATCATTATCATTATTAATAACGATTTCTTAAAGCATAAACAAGTGAATATTAACATTAAAAGCTGACGTTTCAGCGTCATCGTGACACCATTCTCAAGGCAAAGTGAACAGATAATGAGATATCAATGATTTGATTTCTATAGTCTCTACAAATTAACATAATAACAAAGGATCACAAATTCTTCAAGTAAATACCTTTGCGCAAATCGAATCTGTTTGCACGTTTAGGGGTGGTTTAAGTTTTCTTATAAAAAGCATCTCCTTAATTAGGCAATCAAATTTGTTAGTACATTTGGCAAGCACGTGAAATTGTTCTGAAAGACAAGGTGGTACGTTCGAATTATGTTCGCTAAAGTAATGTTTACAAATTGACGACCTTAAAGTTTGAGAAGTCAAGCCAGCCACTGTTAACCAACAATGTGTAGTTTATAAATTTCAATGTAACCTGTGTGATGCAGGATATGTTGGTTACAATCGCGGTCACCTCAACGAACGCGTTGATGGACACAAACAAAAATCATCGTTATTATTGTTATTATTATTGTTATTTTATTATAACATGGGTATTTTGGTTTGACTGTGTGTACATCTTGTCAAAACAAGAACCATGGCTGGACCAAAACTGCCTGATATGCTGCCAAAGCATACTAAAAAGGTATGATTACATAAAGAATCTATTAATTGAGGGATCCTTTTAAGAGTCAACCATCAGCACTGTACATCATTCAGCAGATTTTCAATTCATTTTCAGAGGGGGTAAGTTATTTTTGACAACATTTTTTCACAAAAGGTATGCTCTCACCCCTTCACCAAAACTTAAAAAAAAAAACATTTGAAGTACGTTGATGATGTACATGTAGAGTTTAAAAAATTGACCTTTTGCAAGGTTGGTGGAATCTAGCTAGATTTTGATTTTAAGATTTTGAGGAGGCAGGATTCCACTGGTCAGAGAAGACATCACAAACTTGACAAACCTGTAAAATTCTTCTAGAAAGACTTGTTCTATCTCTGCCATACTTGTAAACTCCAAAGTTGAAGATTTTTTCTTCACCATTTTCATCATTGGCTGGTTCACCAGCAGCAGTCATTATCCCTAGATTTTTTGCTTGCTCCATAGCTTCTTCAACAGATAATTTTCCTTCCTATTGATAAGAGTAGTCATTTGATGAAATAATGAAATACATATAAATTTAGTTTCAATATGAGATGAGCAATAGTCAACTCAGCTACACTTTGTTGGCTATTCACTTATAGAAAACTCGGACTCCTAGTCTAATAATATTGTTAAGGAGATAGAGACTTAGGCCTAGTAGCTACTGCACAGTTGTTAACAAAATGGGCCCACCTCTCTGTATTTTTCAGCGTGTCTGTAAAGAGGATTTACTAGTAAGATAAACTTTTGAACAACTAATCGATTGACACTGACAATTACATGTAAATGAAAAAGACTGGAAGAAAATAATTTTCTACGTATAATGTGTCTTAGAAATCTCAAGCTTGTAATCTAATTTATTGCTGTATTGTCAATAAATATTCATCAGAGCAAGATAGCTGAGAGAGACACTCACTGAATTTAGCTAATCAAAATGATTCAACGTCTAATCGAAATTTTAAGATTTTATAAGTATTACTAAAAGTTCTTTCTACAATCATAAAGTAAGAAATCTTTTATTAATCAAGCTTGGTCAGGAATCACTGTAATGGGTGATCAAAACTCAATCTTTCCTGTATGGACGAAACTGCACTTGATCCATACCGTTAAGACCTAGAGCCAATTTTATCCCAGTGTGCCATCATTGTGCTTGGTTGTACATGTATGTACAAAATAATAATAATTTTACTGTGGGTGACACCAATAACATACCTTCACCATTTTCATGATCCTTATTCTTTCTGCATCACCTTCCTTGACCTCCTACATAAANGGGGTTGGATATAAAATAGAATGACACTGTATGCGGTTCACTTTTTTAGCACTGTTCAAGTTAAATTTAATAGTAGTAACTAACCTATGTTACGAAGAAGTTTGAGAAAGATTGCAACACTGGGAATTTTTACCAAATCAAACTGAACTACTATATATAAAGCCATTTTGTTTTACCAGCAAGTCATGAATTTGGCTTCGAATGGTATTTAGGTGAGATAGCCTTGGCTTACCTCATCACACGCACGTAACCTACACCAGGTTTCGCGTTTCGTCTTACTGCACTCACGTTCGTGTGAAAGACTAGAGCTTACGCTACAGAAGTAAGATCAATATTCACCAAGAAAATTTACAGAGGGTCAGTTTAGATTTACAGTTTTCTTATTTATTGAATAAACAGCCAGGCAATTTTTTATTGCATTTTGAGCTTCCACCCCCAAGTTTAAATTTAGCTATGTTAATTGAACTTACTTCGAAAGGTTCCTCCGGCATGGATTCCTGGTTCATCGGCCGGGTTATTATCGTTCCTTTTCTCTGTGTTCCCTTGCTCAGAGAAGCCAGAAAATTTCGCTTCTTGGATGTACGAGGACTGGCTATGGCATGTTGTGGAACAGCTCCGCTCACACTCAAACCTGAGAAAGATGGCTGCACATTCTTGATTTCCGTATAATCAGAACTTTCCTGCGCGTTATGTCGCGTCGTTTCATCTTGCCATTTATGAGACATGTTCAAGTGTTTTTTCGACCACAAATTACCAATGAAACTGTTGTTAAATTTAAATGAAACCGAGGCAAAACATACTCAATATTGCAACCTCTGATCTGTTGATCTTCCTAAAGATACTTAAAGTTTCCCTTAGAACACGCGGTTACCAAGCTCGTTCACCAACCAATCACGCCATGAAAACCGCGCTACAAGTATGAAGTAACGAAAACAATAAAATTTCCTGGTATGGTTGTATCTGGATACATCTGGGCAGTTTATAACACTTTACTGATAGTATTAATTCAGGAAACCTCTGAAATTCAGTTTTTGACGGGGACGTTTTGTTTGTGACGTCATCTCCTTACAGTATTTTGCAATTTTCAGATAAGGAAATAGGTATGTTCTGAAGGGTTATCTAACAGGTTCGGCCAGAAGAGAGATATTAAGCAATCAAATCGCCTTACAAAAATACTAGAAGAACCGCCCGTGTACCCCTATATTGATTAAGAAGAGAATTACGCAACCGTATTTCATGGTGGTAAATTTCTGCAAATATCCAACCCTTGGCATCTACATACGTATATGGAATTACTGTGACTCCGGGTTTGCCCGGAAATTGGGGTGGGATCTCACCCTATCTCATGACCGGCTATAACATAATAAGACCCGGAAAAAAAAAGTATCCACGAAACACAGCGTGACAACTAAAACAGCAGCCGTCAATCTACAGATCATAGTCTGACTCTCTCAGAGCATAGTTAGTGGAGGGGACCACTAACTATGCTCAGAGCCGCGAAGAGACTGGAATGTAACAGACCCCACTGGACATAAGTTGTTATTCCTGCTTGCATTTGCTTTATTAATTCTTTCTTTGCTTTGCGCAGCGTTTCTATTCACCTGTATGAACTGAAATGCAGCCTTCGTGTTGCCGTACCCACCCTCTGAGGAAAAAAAAAGTTTTGCTTCGTGCATGGAGTGCTGCAGGTGTTATAATTTGTATCGCGGAGGCTTTGATATTTTTTGTAGTCCGATTATTCCTATTTTCCTATTTAGATTCATTTTAAGAGATATCAAAAAATATGGAAATACCTGAATAAATTGTTGTTGTTGTTGGATATATCGTAGCCTGCGTATTTGGCGCTCAAGTAAACAGAGCGCGAGTTAGGGCTAGCGGTCACGTCACGCCGCTCGCGTTAGACTCCCAGGCAGACGCTCTTAGGGCTCGTCACGCGTTCGTGGGGAAGTAACGCGTGACGAGCATTAAGAACGTCTGCGTGGGAGGCTAACTAGCAAGCTAGTTTTATCATTGGTCGATTTGAAAGGGAACATTGAAAAGCGAATAACACAAATCGCCTTAGCGTGGCGATTTGAAAACTCTTCCCGTGTTCTTTCTTGATCTACTGTCATGGAGTGAACGATAGCCAAGACAAGGAAATGACTTCCTCTCCAATCATAATCAGTCCCCAACCCCTGATCCTAAGAACTGTATCGGGCAGAATTGGCTTCCATTCTTATGCTACTTCGGGATCGAATTATAAAAGTGGATTGTTCTTTGCTTATTTTAATGTGGATATACCAGACAATTTTTCGATGACTACCTTTTTTTACGATTACGATTACTTGGGCGTCGGGTGTTGCTCACCATTTGCACAGTCGCCACCCGGATACAGCACCTGAGCCTGCGCATTTCCCATCCTCTCTCTTTCAAATTACTCCAGTTGTGTTGAAAACCAACCGTCAAAATCCAATGTTATATATGAAATCCGGAAAGCATCTTCCTGAAAAAAAGACATCATAATTAAGGCGTGATGAAGTAAATTTTATAATACTATGAGCGATTAGTATGGGGACTGACACACCCTTTTGGAAAGCGTCTTGTTTTAGTGTAAGTGCTTGTGTTGTCCATGAATGCGTGTAGTTTTAGGTGTTGTCGTTGTGCATGATGAAACTTTTTTGTTCCCTCTCTTATCCATCACCACTTTCTTTTCTCTCCTAAATCATCCGTTGCCCTTTTTCTCCTTTGTCCTTGATTTTATCCGCCTATTCTGTTCAATTAGAAATAATGCTCAAAAGGCTCCAAAAGTGTCAAATTTTCTCTGCTAGTCTAAACGTTTCGGACTTAGCCCTTCTTCAGTAGGTGGAATGATTGCCCAATGCTATGCTCTTCAGTGCGTTTCTCTTCTATTCAATTCTCTTCTCTTCTATTCTATTTTAGTATATTTTATTCTATTCTGACGAGTTAACTACGTAAATGAAATTATATATGAACAGCGGGGATTGTAATGAGATAATATGTCAACGCTAAATTGCAAGTACAAATATACGATGGCCTTTCTTCCAGTTCCATTTCATTCCCGCTTCTAAATCATTGTTCGTGATGGAACACTTAACACGCATGCATGCGCATACGAAAGAGAAAGTCANTTTGGAAAGCGTCTTGTTTTAGTGTAAGTGCTTGTGTTGTCCATGAATGCGTGTAGTTTTAGGTGTTGTCGTTGTGCATGATGAAACTTTTTTGTTCCCTCTCTTATCCATCACCACTTTCTTTTCTCTCCTAAATCATCCGTTGCCCTTTTTCTCCTTTGTCCTTGATTTTATCCGCCTATTCTGTTCAATTAGAAATAATGCTCAAAAGGCTCCAAAAGTGTCAAATTTTCTCTGCTAGTCTAAACGTTTCGGGCTTAGCCCTTCTTCAGTAGGTGGAATGATTGCCCAATCCTATGCTGTTCAATGCTATTCTCTTCTATTTAATTCTCTTCTCTTCTATTCTATTTTAGTATATTTTATTCTATTCTGACGAGTTAACTACGTGAATGAAATTATATATGAACAGCGGGGATTGTAATGAGATAATATGACAACGCTAAATTGCAAGTACAATTATGCGATGGCCTTTCTTCCAGTTCCATTTCATTCCCGCTTCTAAATCATTGTTTGTGATGGAACACTTAACACGCATGCATGCGCATACGAAAGAGAAAGTCAAACGGCAAGAAAGAAATAACATTGTACTGTTACGTTCGGTCATATGCATTCGCTTACTTACTGATCGATACTGAGAAAAGATCTCGCTTTCTTCCTGTTTCTTGTAGGGAACCCTTCTCTTCTGATCACATGAAAAAATGTCGATGTACCTCTTCTTTGTCTCTCCTGCAGTTTATGAAAAGCATTCCATACCGCTTTACCCTGTGTATATCCCCTTCCGAGATTTATGTTTTCTCAAACGCAGTAACTTTGAGTATAAATTTGGATGTACCCATTTACGAGTGTCGTGTGACCAAGGTCGATCAGCATAAAATAGCAGTTTTTGTTACAAAATCGGATTTCCTAGAAAAAAAAAACAAGGCTGCTTCCTCTAACTGAGCCGATCTCCTCATTTCCGCTGTTTCAGTTCAATGAATGACGCCTCGCTGCTCAGCTACAGTTAAACCTGTGAATATCCTTTACATCGTTATCATGACGACTTCTTGATTGCGACTGACTACTGTCTAGAGATGCTAAAATTAAGCTTGGAATTCCCTTGTGGACGAGCCCTGATCTTACAATATGTGAATGGTGTATAGAGTATAGATAGATCATAATTTAGTTAACTGAGGCAAATAAAACATGAAAGTTATTTGACAGTTATTAAATAATTAAAGCCGATTGCAGGCACACTAGAAATATTTTATGTAGACGGCAGCCTACAAGTACTATGTAGTGACAGCTAAAACGACTCCTAACTTATTTTCAGCGTTTAATTTATTTTCGAAACTGATCTGAACAGAGCGGGCCGAGGTGAAGTTTTATATCACTTAACAAACAATTCCCCCAGTTTATGTCACTCCTGAGTACTTCAAAGAATTTTGGGGACCACTATGGAGAATTTAGATGTCGAAATCAGGAGCTCACAAAGAAAAGCATCACTACGGCGACTTCAAATCGTAATGTCCATAATGCGAAGTCAAATCAGCGATGACTGAGCTTTCAGTGGAACTCGGCCAGCTATGACATGGTCAGTAAGGAAATTAAATCTTTTCAGGCTTCAGCCCCGGACTATAGCGAAGAAGAAAAACAAACTAGGTATAATATTCGACGATACCTGTTCACAGCTGCAAAGAGCTCTAAAAAGCCGCCGATATATAGCAGTGTATTCTCTTGAATCACAGTTTAGTCTTGATTCAGCACAAGCCTCCTCCGTCAGTTATCTGTGTTTACATCAATCTGCCAGATTTTTACCATTAAAAGTCAATATATGTCCAAACATTAATTAACTTCCTTTACAATATTTTGGTATTGATTATCTCTACCATGGCTTTGCACTGCTTTCAAAAGACATGCATGGAAACTGAAACTTTCCTTTGCTGACGTTACCGTATAAATGTCAAATATTGAAGCATTTAATAATACACAGATGACTTGCTGATATCAGTTAAAGGTCACAGTATGTCAGTTAGAATGTTTTCTTTCACTTAAACCGACTTCGGCTCATAAACACTGATTTCGTGGTTGGTAACCTGTTAATATTGGTATAAATAAACCTTGAGAGATTGCATTTCCACACTTGTTTATTTCGATTTTTTGTTCGTCAATATAACCCGGAAGTACAGAGGACAAGCTGCCAGAAATTGAAAATCACATTGACAAGTAACTGAGAAATCTTTCCTCGCAGTTTACAGTTTACTGCCAAAAGAAAAAAAAGAAAAGGAATTGTCTCGTCCCAGGTTATACAAGAAGCTGACAACGATGAGCGAGTTCACAGGGCACCATCTTTTCTGGAGTCACAAGTTTCACAGCTTTTCTGGAGTTACAGACACTCATGTAATTAATTGGCCCATGTAAACACAGTTGAATGCAAGCCGGGTGAACGCGCTGGTTTATTGAGGCCAAAATTTTGACTAAAGCCTGGTTGAAGCCTCGTCTACACGAGCAATTTTCATGTGACAATTTTTATTTGCTCATGTAGATGACGAAAATTGGCTAATTTTTATGCGACAAATATATTTGCTGAAAAGCTGGCGTGTTAGCTTTTATGTGACAAATAAAAGTTTTCGCACACGGAAAATTGCTCGTGTAAACAACTCGTCACATAAAATGTGGAAAATATGTTTGAAAGCGAAATATTGGCGGGGGGAGTGACTACGCAGCCTCGCCTTGTTTCTGCGTATCTCTGCTGTCCAGAGTCATTAAGAGTGAAGGTTAAGTCTGTATACGAGCCAAGTGGCCCATCAGGCCGGAGCTTATCCCGGTTTCCGTAGCATGAAGCGACTANTTGTTTCTGCGTATCTCTGCTGTCCAGAGTCATTAAGAGTGAAGGTTAAGTCTGTATACGAGCCAAGTGGCCCATCAGGCCGGAGCTTATCCCGGTTTCCGTAGCATGAAGCGACTAGGAATATTTCTACTTTCATGGTTACCCCCAGCATTAACTTCGCCGGTACCCATTTATACACCTGGGCAGAGAGAGGCAATGTGAGAGTAAAGTGTTTTGCCCAAGAACATAACACAATGTCCCCCGTCAGGGTTCGAACCCGGACCGCTCGATCCGGAGACGAGCGCATTAACCTTGAGACCACCGCGCCTCCTCGTCCAAAGTCATTACTGGCGCACAAAACTTTGAACTGCTGACAAATATTATTTGCTGTGCCATCTACACGATCAAACATATTTGTCACATAAAAATTGCTCGTGTAGACGAGGCTTAACACGAGCAATTTTTATGTAACAATTTTTATGTGACAAATATTCTTGATCGTATAGATGGCACAGCAAATATTTCTCAGCAGTTCAAAGTTTAGTGCGCCAGTGATGACTTTGGACAGCAGAGATACGCAGAAACAAGGCGAGGCTGCTTAGTCGCTCCCGAAAAACTTGGTACTTACGAACATATTTTCCACATGTCATGTGACGAGTCGTGTACACGAGCAATTTTTCGTATGTGACAAATTTTATTTGTCACACAAAAGTGAACACGCCAGCTTTTCAGCAACTATATTTGTCACAGAAAAATTGGCCAACTTTCCTCATCTACCCCAGGAAATAAAAATTGTCACATAAAAACTGCTCGTGCAGATGAGGCTTAACAACGTAAGTCTTAATC